ACAGTGCTTGCCACATGAGTGATATTAGGGGAGTATGATGGAGGCCTGATATTCTGGTGTGGGGAGCATGACTTTGCTGTCTGCCATCGGAGTATTTAGGAGTCCATCATGTGTATGGTTTTGAAGATGACCATGGTATTTCTCATCTTGTTAAAATCTATTAATGTGATAACTCTTCAAACAATGGTATTATGGACGTCATAATAGTATTGTTTTTTTTTTTGTCACCTGCAAGCTGCTGAGTCAAAGTACCTATTAAAATTTCTCCATTATAATGATGGTTGCCATTTCTCCATGAAACATCATGCCACCATGTCAACATCTCAACAGTCAAAGAAGCAGGGTGTGGATGAAAAATCCCATTAGTAGATGATGCTGGACAGCTGGTCCAAATTATATGCACAAAGCTTGGAATGTTCAATGGGAGAACACAGGAAATAAACCCAGCAATAGCAGTGCAAACCAAACAATGGAGAAAATACAGCATATAAATCAAAGGTGAAAAGGCAATGGAGTCAAGGCACAAGAAAGTATACTAGGGTTACATTTCGCAGAAACTGAAAAGTTACTTTGAAGAACAATAAATATAATGACATGCTGCAACTATCATTAACTCTGCCATGCTGGATGATATTCTAAGACATTTTAATGGAACCATGTACCTCAATTATTATTCCTCTGCTGCTCCGCTCTGCATGTACTGCAAATATTTTATATATTATTTGCAGTAAGGGGAAGGATATGTTCTCAGTCATCCCAGACTGCATAATTTAATGAGAACTCCCCAAATTCTATACAATATTTTCAAGAAGTAATACCCTCCTGTGATTGGGTTCTTCTTGAATTGGTGACGGTTCCCTCATTGTGGCGGGAATAAGAGACAGAGGCGATTTTAAAAATCCAACCGGTTCAACTTTATTAACTTCAGTATCGTGATTAACCAAATTAAACGGATCAAAACAACTTAATTCTGGTAACGTCTTGTAATTTGGAATTCTGGTTTCTGGAGTACAAAAATCACTTATCACATTGGGGCTGGACCAAAGCGCTTGCGATCGGTCATCTCCCTCAGAGGGGTGCTCCTTACTGCGCACACTGTCCCACAACACGGGTGTCTCGCCCAGTCCCCTTTTAGAAGTGGAATGTTGAAAGAGGGACTGGGACAAATTACCTTCCTTCCTCCACCTTGGTTGCACAGGTAAACTACCACAGCCATTCTAAGGGTTTTACTCCTTTCTTCTCCACTTTAGGTAGATCTGGATAGGGTAGTAAGCCTCCACCTGTTTTTAGATTCAGAAAATCCTTTAACAAATCACAGACCTTAGTAGATGCCTCTTCTTCTCTCTCAGTTTGTACCGTGCAATCTTTTGTCCCTTTCCTTGTCTAATCCATTTCAATTCTAAATTCCAATGCATCACCCCATTCTTTAATAACCTCCTCCCACACTATCGGATCTTGCTCCTCCCCTTTCTCCTCCCCTTGATCTTCTGACAAATATACTTCTATTGCCTTCCTCTTCTATTCCTCCCTCTTCTGTTTCTACGAGTATGCCTCCTACACATCCACAAGTTTCCTCCTGTACACTTTTTGTTGAGGATGGCTCACTAGCTTGTTCTCCTTCAAACCTCCAATAAATTTTCTGTTCCCAAAAGTCACATATCCCTTCATCCCCCCCCCAAATTAACTTTATCCTTTGGTTCCTGCACCCCGAAAATGTTGCTTTGAATCCATTTTCATCTTGCTTCCACTATGAAATAAATGTGTATCCTAATGTTTTTTCCTCAAGCATGTTATCAGCTGACAGTAGCAGTGCAATCTAAAGCTCAATCCTATACAGTATACATTTTCTGAACACTTCTGTTCTGGTACACAGACAGCTGCTATCACATTATTTATTTATTTATTTATTTATTTATTTATTTATTTATTTATTTATTTATTTAACTTATATGCTGCCCACACTATCGGAAGGTCTCTGGGCGGCTTACAACATTTAAAATACAATAAAAAGGCAAAATAATTAAAATGCAATTAAATATATATATACTCTAAAAATTTCATTAAAAATGTTATAGTAACCACCCATGAGTTACTATCACATTTAATACTCTGTGATGGAACAATACTGTACACACAAATACAGTCCTCAGAATTGCTCTAAAGTGGTAGTGGGGAATTGTGTGTTGCTTCAGATCTTGTGGAATTACATCTCACATAATCTGTGATAGGATGCTTGCAATGTAGGGTGGGTAGGGGTTGAGTTCTATCTTGGGAATAGATCTGGCAAAGTTATAGTGAGCTTTATTTGTTTAATTAGGACTCACATGGGTGCATTTATTTGAGTTTGTTGTTCCTCTTCTACAAAATGTGACGCTATTGGCAGTGTTCTATATTTTAGAGCTACAAATAATTGTGCTCTTTATAAAACCCTGTTTATAAAACACTGGTTGCTCCCCACCTATTTATTTATTTATTTACTTTGACAGAGTATTGTAATATACAGAATGATTGTATTCATATTAATATATCCTATTGCAATGGTTTTGGTCCATGTAGTTTCAGTGGATTGTGTCCTTTGTTCCTTATCCTTCAGCACAACACATTGCATTGGTTTCATGAAGTGTTTTTCTGTATTTGCTTCTCTAAGCAGTGGCTAAAGCTGTTTTATAATTCTATTTATTCCTTTTTTTGGAAAAAGTATAGATATATAATTTTATAGAATGGTTATACACGTACAAAGAATGCATCAAACTGTTAAGAATAAAAATACTACACAATGTTTCAGCTAATCAGCCTGCACTTGTGCAGTTAATGTATACAGAAATATCTAAACAAAGGCAAAATATTGAAAAACACAATTAAATTTTATCATGTAGTTTTAGGTCAATTCAGATCACATTGTGATAAGAGATAGCCAGTTTGGCAAACTGCTGTTACAAAACTAGAATTTAGAAGAGTTCTATATTTAGTTTGTTGTCAGTTAGAAATCAATTCAAGCAGCTGGATGGAAATCAGATTTTCAGTGAAAGGACATTTCTAGGAAGGGCAATGTAATTTAATCAGACTGTCTTTCAGTGCTTCACTTAAAGCTGTTGAGACTTTGGTACTGTTGATAGTGCTCAATATAGAATGTCTGCTTCAAGATGGATAACATCCACTCCTAAACAATAAATGTGCAATGAAAGGTAGAACAGAAGCTGAGCATATTTGACAAACCTCTTTGCACTTGAATACATGAAATGAAGTGTTGGAGAGTGTGTGTAATGTATAGGATGATTCTAATAAAACTTTGATCTTAGTAGAAAATGGTCAAAATATCAACATGAAGAATGCTGTATTACTTACAGCCCAGGATACCTTTTCAGTAATCTTTGGGAGTAATAAATACATAGCTATTGTTTGTGTTTTGTGCCATCAAGTTGGAACTGACTCATAGTGAACTTAATAGGGCTTTCACTGTAAGTAGGATATTTAAGGATTGATACCATTCCACACACCCCAGTGAATTTCCATGGTTGAACAGGGATTCTAACCCAGGCCTCCTAAGCCCTAGAATGTCACTCTGTCCACTACTGTCCCAAACTGAGTATCTCCAGTAATAGGGAATGGCTAACATAAAACAATGGTGCAGCATAATTGTAACCTGCTTACCTCCAAAGGAAATTCCATTATGCTCAATGGGATTACTTATGAGGTAAACACTTGATAGGTGTGTTTAGGATTGCAATGCAGCAGTTAAGTCCTGTAAAAGTATATTCTGAAGTCCCGCTATGTTCAAAGGGACATATGGGTTCTGCTATATTAGCACTAGTGAAAGTTAGTTGAAGTCTGATAATAATTGTGTACTGTCAAGTTAATTCTCACTCTCAACCTCTGGTTCTGCAGTCAGATATCAATAAATTACATCTCTGGCTGCGGAGACAGAGGTAGACAGAGTTCAAATCCTCATTGTGCCTCCTGAAAGAAGAGTCAGCCTGTGCGACCTCAGACAACCTGCACAGTCCCAGAGAACCTGCAGAAGGGAATGGTAAACCACTACCTAAAAAACCCTGAATAGGGACATGATAAATTAGAATTGACTTGATGGCACACAATTATTATCAATATACTCTGTCACAGATTTAATGAAATTATTTACTGATGCTATTTTGGACAACAAAAAAATTGTTCTGGTAGAGAGTTAATAAGTATATTCAGATTGTTGTTGTTTAGTCGTTAAGTCGTGTTCGCATTCAGATTGTTGCTGTTTAGTCGTTAAGTCATGTCCAACTCTTTGTAACCCCATGGACCAGAGCACGCCAGGCCCTCCTGTCTTCCACTGCATCCAGGATTTGGTTCAAATTCATGTTGGTCGCTTCAATGACACTGCCCAACCATCTCGTCCTCTGTCGTCCCCGTCTCCTCTTGCCTTCACACTTTCCCAACATCAGGGTGTTTTCCAAGGAGTCTTCTCATGAGATGGCCAAAGTATTGGAGCCTCAGCTTCAGGATCTGTCCTTCCAGTGAGCAAAGACAGCTACATTATATTCAGATACATTCGTTCATAACGGAGAGTCTAAGAAAGGCATCTTCGTGAACCCTTGGCCAGCCACGACTAAACAAAAGGAGACCCACAGAATGCCTCTGTCCAAAGCAGTTTCCTGTGTCCACGATATTTAACACAGATAACTCGCCAGTCCGTTGTTGTTGTTGTTCTGACACACTCTGTCTTGTCATCTTCCAAGCAGATGGTAAAAATGAGAGACCTGTCAGGGAGAAGATAAAATCGGATCCTGTATATGGAGCCACAGACACCGCCCGCTGGTCGGGAAAGGCGCAGAAAAGAGGAGGAGGAAAGGGAGGAAAAAAGGACAGGGGAGAGAGACGCGCCACTCAGGGAGCCGACTGCGCAGGCGCAGAGGCAATTAAAAAAACCGTCGGTGGGGGGGAAGACGACGACGACAGGGAGGGAGAGTGACGTCGCGCGGGAGGAGCGCGAGGCGGATTCGGAGCGAGTCGAGGCGGACGCGGCGGCGCGGAGAGCGGTGGAGTTTCTGAGGCGACGGAGGGGCCGGGATTTCGCCGGGCTTCGGGGCCAGCTTCTGACGCCGCCGACGCCGCCGCCGCCGGAGTGACCGCCGGGCCCAGCGGGTGGATGGTGGTCGTCGCGGTGCCCGGGCCGTGCCGCCGCGCAGCCATGTCTAGCGGGAACAGCCGCCGCCGCCGTGCTGCCAGGTGGAGGCGAGACCAGCGCGGTCCGCGGCGCTGCCTGTGAGGAGGAGGAGGAGGACCCGGCTAACGGCTGGCGGCGGCGGCGGCTGTCTGGGGGGAAAAAAGGCTTCCATGTCGGCGGCTAGGGATTAAGCGGGGGGAAGATACCGATTCCGGGCCGGCGTGGCGGGCGGGGGATCCGGGCGGCGAGCCCCCCCTTCTATCGCTCCCTCAGAGGCTCCGGGGAGAGCGACCCGACCTCCAGAGAAAGCCGGGCCATGGCCGACCGGAGCGCCCCGAACTGCCACCTCAGGCTGGAGTGGGTTTATGGCTACCGGGGTCACCAGTGCCGCAACAACCTTTACTACACGGCCGCCAAAGAGATCGTTTATTTCGTGGCGGGGGTCGGGGTGGTCTATAGCCCCCGGGAGCATCGGCAGAAATTTTACTTGGGGCACCAAGACGACATCATCAGGTAGGGACGCCTGGAGAGCCCCTCTCTCTTTTCCTCGTCCTCTCCTTTCCTCCCCAAACGGCTCCTTCAAGAGCGATTTCTGCATAGATTCGCATCACAGGACAGCGCGCTCCATCTCGGAGGATAAAAACGCTCTTTCTCTCTTTTTTTTTCCGCCTTGCGTAAACAGCAAGGGCAAGCAGGCGCCCTCCTTAGGGCATCAAGGTCCTCATTTGATCCCAGCCTTCTGAAGAGCTAGCTGTATTATCTGGGATTTTTCCTGGGCTGTATTAACTCTTCTCCTCTTCCAAGGGACGGTCCCCCCCCTCTTAATGTATCCTCTCGGGAACTTGCATTTGTTTCCCATTTATTGCGGTTTCACTCTCACTCTCTTTCCTTGACCCAAGAAATAACATTCACTCTAATTCTCAAAGACACTTGCTGATTGACAGTAGGGTATTGCTTCCTTTTCTCTGAAACGAGATGGAAGTTATAACCCGTATAGATAGGGTGATGCCTGAACATTTTTGAAGAGAAAACCCTAGACCCTAAATTCTATCATATAAACATAGACTCTATCTGTGGGCTTGGATTCACATCATGGGTTGCCTGAGGAATATACATTTTGTCAGCAATGTCCATAAGGTGTTCTTGTGTGTCTTCAGCTGGTCTAGTTTGGCACCCTTTCTGAGATGTGAGAGACCACTGCAGTATAGTACTGATTGTCTCAGATCCAGTAGTAGCTTTTCCTGCATCTTACTTCTTAAAGTCAGTAAACTCACATAAATTTACTATCCATACAAGATGTAACTGTGTGCCATTTCTTCAGTTTTAAATAACGTTTTTGTGTCATATTGCTGAAATATATGAAACTGTTTAGTCACAATTTCAACATATCTAGGTACTGGTTGTGATACTAGTATGGAATAATTGAAGTCTTAACTAGGCACTTTGAAAGCAATGGTTTGGGTGACAGGCATTTGAGTGTGTACTAGATATTTTGTCTTTGCTTTTTTTTGTCTTGAAAGTTTGGCATCCACATTGGAAAAGTGTACAGTATTTTCAAGTGTCTACAGATGAGTGAAGAGGGTGGACAGGGTATGCTAAGTGGCTGTCTCCTTCTGTCGACATGTAAGAAGTGATAAAAGATTTTGTTCTCCTTTATGAAATACCACTGTATGCATCAGCTACACATTTGAACAGTGGCTGTTCCAATTTCCCAAACTCAGTATATTTTTTCTTGATCTTCCATATTTCTTTTTACTGTACATTAATTCTTTTGCCATTTGACAAATTACACAGTAAGAACTACTGTATGCTTATTCTCTGTTCTTGTGCAAATATTAGAGTGATTGATTTAGCTTCTGAAGGATTTTAATTTCATTTACAAAGAAAAGTCCCTATTTTACCCATACAGTTCCAAGCAAAGATTTGAAAGTGGTATGGACAGTGTCTTGTGAAATCTCTGAATCATTCTAGGAGAATTCTCAGCAGGATTTCCATTGTTCAAGGAGTGGTGTTTGGGTACCCTGGACAGTTCCTTGCTAACTCTCAGGAGCATTAAAAACATGGTACCAGACAAAACAATTCAGTAGCTCAGATTTCAGGGTCATCACAATCCCGTAGTTGAGTCGAAACACACATGCACCTTTCTGTAGAAGTAGTAGCAAATTGTATACATTTGAATCCAAAGCCTGTAGTGGCACTGACCAGTAGAAAAAGTGAGAGTGGGCCAAAGTTCCAGACAAACTGGGTAGCTGTCGAGCTCCAACCCCAGGGTTGAGGTAGAAAACAGGGAGGTGGGCAAGAGGGGTGATACATTGGCAATGGACATCTGGAGTTCATCAGATGTCACAGTCAGATTATCTCTGTAGTTTTCCTGTGTAATTTTCCATGCTCGGTAGCAACATTTGTATACAGTACATACTGTGATATTTTGGATTTCATGTACATGCAGAAAACCTTAAGGGAGGCTGTGGTGTTCTCACGATAATGTTTCTGTTTAGTAATTTCCAAAGTAGCCATGTTAGTTTGTCTCAGCATATCATCAATATTAAAAAAGGGGGGAAGAAAAGTGGTATTTTAAAGACTAAAATCTTTATTTCAGTGTAAATTTTCATGGACTAAAATCCACAAAATCAGAAATATGAAGAAGTGTGTCTGAAGAAGTGGATCTACTAGTCTCTGAGTGTTATAATGTTTGGTTTTTCTTGCTCTCTTTTTTTTTCTTTCTCACTTTTTGTATTTGTTGGGATGGTTCTGAGGGGGAAAACCCTTACACATGTCTTATATTACTAATATTTCAGCATTTTGAAATACAGTAGCTGCTGAAAACCAGCAAGCCACAGGCACATACTTTATTTTTGCATAGTCACAAGTTACATGTACAACCATACAGTACATTACCCTGACTCTAGATTATTTTGTATAGCCACAAAATATTGTTACTAGTTGAATGGATATATTTAGTCCATTTTTAATGCTAGCATGATTTCTCCCTGGATATTTGTGATTGAAAGAAAACAGCTCATATTATTTGTGTTTATGTAGTGAGTCGACAACATGTAACAACATAACAAGGGAAATGATGGCGCATGGCCTTTAAAGTTACTAGGATCTATTACAAATGTGCTAAATCTTCCAGATGTCTGGGATGTTTTTAGTCAGCAGGTGCACTTTTAATAAAGTGTAGTGAGGCTCTGTGGTTATCTGTATTTCTTCTAAAGTAAGAACTGACTGAATTAGAGCACTCTCTGCCTTTCTGTTAATGGGTCAGTTGTGTATCTCCTCAGGGCCACTAGAATTCTACACCAGCAGCTCCCCAGTAGATAGGAGGAAGACCATGGTGAAATGTGATTTCCCAGATAAACCAGAAAATCAGGAAGACTGTGGAATCAAACAGGAGGGAGGATTGGGTGAAGCACGAGGTGTGGAACGAGAAAAGAATGGGAAAGGAAGAAAATCCAAAAAGAGGAAGTCTGGAAAAATAGGGATGGAAAGTATAAAAGGAGGACTGGATGTGATAGAAGAGGAGGTATCAGAATCAAAGGTAGAAAGGGTGTTGCCCTTAGAAGGGAGAGAAAAGGAGAAGGAAGAAATATGGGAAGATGCAGTAGGTGATTTGGGAAGGAGGAACATACACCATTTAGATATGAACTCAGGGAAGACTCTGAGCCCCCAGGGGAGTGGGAATTTATCTACAAGGAAGACCTCATGGACTGGGGTACTCGTACAGTTAAGGGTTCCAAAAGAGGAAGCAGAGAAGCACCTTAACTTTCAATACTCCTATAAGCCCTCTTGCCGGAGAGAGAGGGAAAGAAGAGACAGGCTTCATTTGACTTGGCAGTGACAACTCTAGAAATCATCATCATCACTAGACAAGTAAAATCATGAGTAAAGTTATTTTGTTGGGCTGGCTCTATGTATTTCTAAATCTTCATCCAATTCATTGTGTTTTTTTCTGTAGTATGGTTGTTATTTGCTTAAATATTTTGAAGAGGCTGTAATTCAGTTGTGTACAGGTTGTGTGTTGGAAGGCCCATGTTCAGTCCTTAACATGTCCCAAAGTGCTAAGAAACACATTTTTATAAAATGCTTGATAGTCACTATCAGTTAATTATGTAGACAATGAATGCAAAGCAAGATGTACTAATGGTCTGACTCAGTGCAAGACATTTTCATATACTCCAGGAGATGTGGGTGAATGTAAGTTTCTTCAGAAGTTTTAAAAATTCATTAAACTTTACTAGCATATCTTGTGATGAGCAATGATGAAAGTTTCAGTTCAGCAATATATAGATGCATAGGTGGTTCTCTATTTAGTCATGAGCCACCCTTGTACAGAGGCTATGTGTTCCCCATCTTTGGTTTATAGCCAGACATTCCAGAAGGGTACAGCACAGCTGAAGAAATGTAGCAAAAGGTCCTGGGGCATATTCAAACTAATAAATCAATTGCAATTTTAGCCATGTTAAAGATTTTGTTTATCTTGATTCAATCATCAGTCCAAATGGAAATTGCAGTCAAGAAAGAAGAAGAATTTGATTTGGAAAGACTGCTATGAAAGAATTAGACAAGACAATTAATTGTGAAGGTTTAGGAGGAAAAACAAAGTAAAAATAAAAATACAGACAAAAAAATTGTGGCACTTTAAATGCTAACTGCCATATTTTAATGTGTGCATTCATGGACAAGTTCACTTCCTCAGACATTGCAAAAATGTGTAACTAGAGACCAAGGCCAAGTTCATCCACACTATGATATTCACAATTATTATGTATAGATGTGAAAGCTAGACAGTAAAGAATACTGACAGGAAAAAAATGGTTGTAGTAGGTTTTTCGGGCTCTTTGGCCGTGTTCTGAAGGTTGTTCTTCCTAATGTTTCGTCAGTCTCTGGCCAGCATCTTCAGAGGACAGGAGTTAGAACTCTGTGTTCTTGTGTGGCGTGTGGGATAGTTGAGTATTTGTAGCTGTGGTATCAGCTTTTTGTCCTTTTCAGAAGATTGGGTGATTATGGTGATCAGGGTGTTTTTTGTTGTGGGTGTATTGTTGTGATAAGGGGGGAGATGATCTGTCACTGTGATTGATGCGTGTTGTTAGCTAGTCTATTGTGTGCAGTGATCATCAGTCCTTGTGGCTGGGTAGAGTTTGTTGACCTTTTGTAGGCTGTATTTTTCAGTGCTGGGAGCTAGGCTTTGTTGAGTTTCAGACTTTCTTCTTTTTTGTTGAAGCTGTACTGGTGTTTGTGGATTTCAGTGGCTTCCCTGTGTAGCCTAACATAATGATTGCTGGTGTTGTCCAGTACTTCTGTCTTTTGAAATAGAATTTCATGTCCAGTTTGTTTCAGGGCATGTTCAGATACTGCCGATTTTTCTGTTGTTTTAGTCTGCAGTGTATTTCATGTTCTTTGATTCTGGTGCGGATTCTGCGTTTTGTAGTCCCAATATATACCTGTCCACAGCTGCAGGGTATCCGGTATACTCCTGCAGTGGTGAAGGTGTCCCTTTTGAGCTTTGCTGA